ACATACTCAATACACTGTCAGATCATTTGTATGATTTATACACTAACACAACTTCGGCGAAAGAAATCTAGGATGCATTGGAAAGTAAGTACAAAGTGGAAGAAGAAGGTACCAAGAAATTTTTTATTTCAAAATACTTTAACTAATTTCTTGATAATATCCCCTTTACTTCCCCAAGTGCATGAGTTACAAGTAATTGTCAACAAACTAAAGTCGGTAAAGATTGAAATCCCGAAAAATTTTCAAGTGAGGGCTATAATTACTAAACTCTAGAGGGCTTGGAAAGGATACTGGAAGAAAATAATACATAGTTCCAAAGATTATTCTTTGGAACAATTGCAAAAAAATCTTTGGATTGAGGAGGAATCCAGATTGCGTGATAGGAGTGAAAACTCTTTGGAAGAAACTTCTAAGGTCAATGCCGTTGAAAATTCTGAGCCACTTGAGAAATCCAATAACAGGAAATCTTCGAGATCATAAGTCTAAGAAGAAGACCAAATGAGAGTGGAAAATTTAAACACTATACAAAGGATTGTAGACACCGAAACGAAACAACTTTGAAGGTAAAATAAATTCCATCCAAGAGGATAAAATTGTGGCCACTTGTAATAATGTACATGTATTATACGATAAATCTTTATTCAAAACATATTATGAAATGGATAGAGACCAAGAGATTCAAATGGATAATGAAGTTCAATTTAAGGTTATTAGAAAGGGAAATGTTGATATCATCTCCACTTTCGGAAAAATCATTACACTTACAAATGTACTACATGTTCCGGATATGAATAGGAACTTAGTGAGTGATAATCTCTTAGGAAAATTGGGTATCAAATATATGTATGAATCTAGTAAACTTGAATTAGCCCTTAAAGAAAAATTTGTTGGAAAATGCTATTCTTGTGAAGGAATGGTCAAATTATAAACGGTTGACAATGTAATAAATAAAGTTAATTTTGCTTATCCCCTTGATTTATTTTCATTATGACATGCTAGATTAGGTCATATTGGTAGAAGTACTATGACACGTATTAAAAATTATGACTTGATTTCATATAATGAAAATAATGAATACAAATGTAAAACATGTGTGGAATCTATGATTGTTATAAGACCTTATCAAATTGTGAAAAGACCGTCTAGCATCTTAGAACTCATGCACATTGATATATGTAAAATGAATGGCATGTTGACTAGGGATGGAAATAGATATTTTATTACTTTTATTGATGACTTTTCTAGATATACATATGTTTACTTGATAAAACATAAAAACGATGCGTTTGATATGTTTGAAGTGTATACAAATAAAGTTGAAAACCATCCAGGAAAGAAAATAAAGACCTTAAGAATTGATAATGGTGGTGAATACTTTTCTAGCAATTTTAACTTGTTTTGTGAACAACATGGCATAATTCACCAATGTTCTGCACTTAGGACACTCGAACAAAATCGTTTGGTTGAAAGAAAAAAATAAAACTTTAGTAAAAATGATCAATGTCATGCTTATATATGCTAAGTTGCTGTTTAATTTGTGGGGTAAAACTTTATTAAATGCATATAGGATACTTAATAGAATTCATTTGAAACATATAAAGGTTTTTCCTTACGAATTGTCGAAAGAAAGAAAACCAAACATTGGATACTTCAAAATGTGGGAGTGTCTTGCTTATTGCAATAACACGAACCCTAATAGGACCAAATTGGGTCCAAGAGACATTAAATGTGCCTTCGTTGGAAATGCTAACAATATCAAATCTTATAGATTGCTAAACTTGAAGACCAATGTGATTATCGAATCAAGTGATGTAGAGTTCTTTGAAAATTCGTTATCTTTGGATAATGAATTAAGGGAAAATCTTGAAAATATCCCTAGTTCAAGTGAAACACGTGATGAAATGTCTTCTAAAGATATTGATGAGTCTAGTGAACCACGAAGAAGCAAGAGAACTCAAGTTGAGAAGTCTTTGGGATCGGATGAGATTGATTCTCAACTTCTCTCTTTTTACTTAAGAGGAAAATGAGTTGAATGTTGTAAAAACAATTTCTTTTGTTCTGTAAGTGGAAACCGACCTTAAAATGTATAAAGAAGCTATGGCTTCTCATGATAACATTTTCTGGAAAGATACAATTAAAGATGAAATGAATTTGATAATGTCAAATAATACAAGGGAACTTGTCGACTTACCACTGAGATCCAAACCTATTGGATGTAAATGGGTATTTAGGAGAAAATATAATGTTGATGGCTCTCTAAATACCTTCAAAGCTAGATTGGTAGCCAAATTTTATCTACAAAAAGAAAGAATAGACTATTTTGACACTTATACATCAGTAGTTAGAATAATATCGATTATAATATTATTCGCTTTAGCTTCAATACATGATTTACATGTTTATGAAATGGATGTCAAGACAACATTTTTAAATGGGGATCTTGATGAGGAGGTCTACATGGATCAACTTGAAGGGTTTGTTCTTCCTGAAAATAAACATAAGGTGTGCAAGTTGGTAAAATCTTTATATGGTTTGAAGCAAGCACCTAAGAAATGACATGAAAAGTTTGACTTAACAATAATATCATTCGGGTTTAAACATAATAACATAGATAAATGTTTATATTTTAAAGTGTGTGATGATTATGTGATATTTATAGCTTATATGTTGACAACATATTGATTATGAGTAATCACATGGACGGTATAGAAGAAACGAAGAGGTTTCTATCTTTCACAAAATGAAGGATCTTGAACATGTAAATACAATTTTAGATATCAAAATCACAAAGACTAGTTGGGGTTACCATCTAAGTCAATTACATTATATCGAAAATGTGATAAACAAGTTTAAACATTTGAACATAAAAGAGTATAGTACCCCGATTGATCCAAGTTTAAAACTTGTAAAGAATGATGGAAGGGCGATTGCTCAATTGGAATATGCAAACGATAAGGGAGTCTTATGCATGCAGTTCAATGCACAATACTAGATATAGCCTATGCAATCAGTAAACTTAGCAAGTTTACTGGCAATCCAGGCAATGATCATTTTAAGGCCATTGGGAGAGTCTTTGGATACTTAAAGAAAACAAAGAACTTAGGCCTGCAATATGCTAAATTCGTATTGGAAGGATTTACCGATATTAGTTAGATATTCAGTACGGGTGAAAGTAAATCCACCTCGAGTTGGATTTTCACGCTATGAGGAGGTGCTGTTTCCTGGAAGTCAAAGAAACAAACATGCATAATACACTCGATCGTGAATTCTAAATTTATAGTCTTACCAAAAATCAGGAAAGAGACTGAGTAACTTAAGGATCCCTTTTATGAAATACATTTGGGATCGAAAAATATTTCTTTAATATCTATCATATGTGATAGTCAAGTCAGATTAGCAAAAGCATACAATGAGGTATACAATGGAAAGTTTAGACACATGAGCCTTAGACATGTCTACATAAGGAAATTAATCAAAGACGGAATGGAATGAAAATTAATCAAAGATGAAATAATTTTCCTAAATTATGTGAGGTCAATAGAGAATATAGTGGATCATTTGACTAAACATCTAAGTAGAGATTTAGTGGCGTCTACTTCAAGTAGGATGAGATTGAAACTCCTTAACTAAAAAAGTCCACTAATAACGGCAACCCTACTCATCGTTACTCAAAAGGTAATTCACAGGTTTAAAGGGTAATAACAAGTCATTCGCATGTAGATAATTGTTGCATCATACCAATTCGCAATAATCCTATCCTAGATAAAATAATGCTAGTTGTTACTGAAATGAGGGGTGAGCTTTAAGCTCTTAATGAAGTTTAGTGCTAAAACACAAGTATCTTTAAAAGTACAAAGGTACTGAAAGAACTTCATCTGGACAAACTTTGATGTGGTACTACCTCAATAAAGAGTTGGAGTTTTTTTCTCAAAAGTTTGTCCAAAAGGATAAGCGTAAGACCATAATAGCGCTAAGCGAGTAATGAGAAACTTAAGAATACGTGATACTAGTGTGTGTTCTTACCGATCCTGTCACATGGAATAACTGGTTCAAAACTTCACGCTACATTTGATTTCGACTTTACATTGTTAGAATTACACTATAGTTAGATTTAAACCGAAAGATATATAATCCTTATGTATGAGTATCGTGTACTTCGAATATGAGACCTTATTAATTTTGAACAAGTGGGGAATTATCGGAAGATATTGGTCAAAATCCACATATGCAGTATATGGAATGAAAACAAGAAAATGACTGCAAGATAAGCCATGTGACCGCATAAGCTAATTGGCCATACGGTCGCATGGCCATATATTGAGAATTGGGGCTCAAAAATTTTTACTCCGTGTGGTCGCATGGTACTTCCTATGTAACCGTTGGTGTCTGTTTTTTAATGTTGTGAATTTGAATTTGGTGACTTTTCACTCGACTTTTGGAACCATTTCAAGTATACGGACAAGGTCTATATATAGAGGAGCCATGATTCAAGGGAAACATAATAGAAAAACACTTGAGATCCAAAATCGTTCCACAAAATCCCAGATTACATTCACATTCATATTCATTTTTTTATCGTGTTCTTCAAGTTTTGGTGGAAAATACTTTGTGCTTTAGTATTTTCTGCAATAAGACTTTTTATAATCAAACCATTTCCTAGAATACACTTAAGCATCTAAAAACATCGGAGAGATGGCAAATAACGTTTGAGGACATTGATGCCGCGTTCGAGCCTTCAAAATTGTTATTGACAATATTTGTGATTTCTTCATATCGTTGTTGCGATTCTTACGTCATTTCTTTTGTCTCTTCTTCATCCCTTGTTTATTTTGCAACATTAAGTGGTCAAATAGAGTAATTGTTTTGCCCAAGTGGATTCACTCTGGTCAAATTCAGTTATTGTTGCCAAATAATAAAGAGATTCTCAACTCGACCCAAGCTTGACCAATCGAGAAATGTTTCCAGACATTTCTAAAACATTTTCGAACATTACCAGCAGAAATGAAGTAACCTGATAAATATATTGCCAGTTTGTGAATATTACATATACATCTTCAAAACATTAGAAGGCTTTGCTCATGTAACTGAATAATTTCGATGACCATTTCAATTTTCAAGCTTGCAATGGAGCTGGTTTTAGTTAGTGAATCCAAAATATAAAAATTCAAAGTAATTATCCTTTCTCATTAGATGGAAAAGCACTGTTGAAAGTAAACAAACTTTGAACTTATTCTATCATAATAATTTGAGAAAAAAACTTAACTTTTGATTTTCGCAACTTGTTCCATATCAAGCCTCTCCTCAGCAAATCAACTGTGCTTTCAAGAGCTAGTTCATTGGCTACTTTATTTCCATTTCGGAATAAAACAGCAAGCTCACGCCCTGTAGTAAAGTTAGAATGTCACGCAAATAGCTTCATTTGGTGCATTATTAAAATACATGCTGAGGTTCTGAACTACCCGGAGCGAACGCTTTTGGCAACATTCACATTTTAAACTCAAGAGCACAAGACTTTCTAGCAAATAAGTCCCTTGAGTTGATAAAGGTCTTTATTGGATTTAATTTATAATATTAAATTATTGTCAACTAATACCAAAATGATCACGCTTAAATAAAACTTGAAATTTCAGTTTCAAATGGAAGATAGCTACATGTTTTACTCTTATTTTTTATTTTTTTTCCTCTCTATGTATGACCTTATACATTGGAATGTATAAACTAATTTTCGATCAATAAAAACAATTAATCCAACTCTTACGAATCTGTACTTAAGTAATTATTGGTTATGAAAAATTATAAGAAAATAAACAATCGTTGAAGTTAATTATACCACATAGCATAAATTGTGGTATTGGAATTTTATGTCAAATTTTAAAAATGAATGCAGACTTAGTCCTTGTACTGGTACAGACAAACAAAAAATGAAATTTGAGATGTAAAAATGTAACTGGAAGACATGAGAAAAAAATCAGCAGAAAAAAATGATCTAAAACATGAATCATTATAAATCAATAACCTAAAATAACTTGTGCCGTATGAACTTTTCTAATCTTGCTATTGAGCTGACGTCGTGGAAAATTATGAAGCGTGCAAAATGATGCAAATCAAAACGAAAAAAGTAAAAAAATAAAAATCCCAACACAAGGAAGAATTAATTGTAAATTGAATAAGGGGATTTTCCATTTTGTTTTGAGTACCTGATGATGGAAAGAAATCTGTGATAATTCAATTTTGGGTTTCTGGCTCGTTGTCTCCATGAATTCTAGCTGGAACTTGAAAACCAAACGCGAATTGGCTATTGACATCTGAATATTGGTTAACACTTGGCTGTGGATTATGTTGAATAGAGTTAGAGTAATTGGACTGAAGGAGTTCCCTATGAGAAAATGGCAGATCCTGGGAGAAAAATGCTCGTTGGACTTGGGACATTGCATGTGAGTCAATAAGAGATCCAACCCTATTTTCCACACTTCCATTGGCACTCCAACTATCCATTCTTTGATAAGTGTCCTGAAATGTTGAACCAGGCGGGCCAAGATTAGTGGAATGCGTCGAACTCTGGTCTTGCAAAGTGTGAAGTGAAAGACCACGGTCTTTAGCCTGAAATGAGGCTCTTGACATTATATCATGTGGGAAATTCTGATAATTCGTCAATGAAGCCGCCCCAGAACTTGCTGGGAAGAAAGATTTCATCGTGGTCATGAATTCCGGGTCGGGTCCTGGTCGAATGTTAAACGAAGATCCTGATTGTATATTAACTTTTGTCCCAGTTGAACTTGGATTAGATTCTGAATTTTGAGCTACTGAAGTATTATTGGGGTGCCTAGGAGGTAGTCCCTCTAGCTTGTCAATAGAATCCTTCGCCATTTCAATTAGCCAATCGACTGCCTTGCTAGGCCGGTCGTAGCCTAAACGGTCCTGAACATCATAAAATTGGATCGCAGTATGAGCAGAAAGCCTAACTCTTCTGTCCCTCGGGCCTTTTGCTGTGGAGACCTTGCTGTGCCGGTCCTTCTGGCTAGTCGACCGGAGAATGTGACCGCCTTGAACCTGTACTCTTTCTCCTACTCCTTTGCTCCCCATTCCCATTTTTTGGTCCATATTTCCATGTTCAGTTTTGGACTGTGTTCTTTCCGTCATTATATATGTAGACAGAAAGATTTTAACTAAAACTGATACTCCTGCTGCTGGTAATCTCAAAAAACCTTGCTAGTATATTTTTCAGATACTACTGCCCAAAGAAAGCTACAATTCAAAAAAGACTAAGCTCAAAAGTATAGATAAATTGATTTTATAGAAGAAATTAACTACTTGGTTATGAAGAAGATACTCCTGTTTAGAGCTCCCAGATAACCAAATAAGAATAAAATTTCAGAATAAAAGGTTGAAATTCCTGAGCTGAAATCTTGTTAAGGGTCTTGAAGAAGATTCAATTTTGCAGGCCAAAAAAATAGGTTTGGGTAATTGGAAAGAATAGGTGATGAAATGAATGGAAAGGCAGGTATACCAGAATAAAAGCTTCAAGTTTATAGAGGTTTTGACGAGTACTCTATGGCGGCTATATATACATATATATTTCAAGAGAGAATAAAAGATTCATCCCATCCCTTCAATTTAATTTTTTCACATTTTTTTTTTTAAATTTTATTTAGTGAAACACCATTTGAGACTAATCAAGGTTTTCAGGCCTCCACCAGTTTTCTCTCAATATCCGAAGGTCCAGTAGTGGTTCGTTTGTTTCTTGAGGGCCAGTCTGGTAGAGATTATTACTCCACAAGAATTGATTTTTCAGTCACATCACAATGGCCCACTGTCAGGCAACAACGTGCATGGCCTTGTAAAAATTTGCCAAAGTGACCATTTTGTCCTGAAGTTCATTATTTAAATTTATTAAGAAATTTTTTAAATGACGTCAAAATTTTTATTAGATTATTTTAAAAAATTAATTGATACAGTAAGAAAGGGAGGCATGAACGAGGACGACGAAGAAGAAAAAAAGGAGTTATATATTTTTTTTCATTGGTTCGAAAAACTTGTATTTACGACGTTAAAAATATGAAAATTATGTGTATCGATGAAAAACAAAATTGATATGAAAGGGAGACATGAATTCAGACGAGCAAGAAGAAAAAAAATAAAGAAAATATGATACTTTAAAAAAAATAACTTGAAA